AGGGCTGGCTATGTCTTTGGAAGGTCTTAATGTTGATGTTTGTTGTCTATCCGAGACCCGTATTCAAGACTCTAGTGAAGTACTACAAATCCGCTCTCCATCTGTCGCCTCGAAGAGCTTGTTCCACGTGCGCTTATCCGGGGACCCTGTGGCATCTTCGTCTGGTCTTGCTGGCGTTGGTGTCGCACTAAGCGCTAGAGCTGAGGCAGCACTAATCGATTGGATCCCCATTAACAGTCGGTTATGTGCTGTTAGATTAGAAAGTTCCATCAAAGTGAGAAGAAATCGGCGTGAGAAACGGTGTCTTTTCGTCATCTCCGTCTATGCCCCGACAGATTGCAGCCCGGATGCAATCAAGGATGAGTTTTACCATCAGTTAACAGTTCTTCTCCAGAAAGCGCGTTCGACAGATATTGTAGTACTAGCCGGAGACTTGAATGCACAGGTCGGGCTTCTAGGCACAGAAGAGAGTCGTCTAGGTGGCCGATGGGGACTTGTTGGTCGCCGGACAGATAACGGGGACCGTTTGCTGCAACTGTGCACAGACCACAACCTGTTTCTGGCCAGCACTAACTTCCGGCACAGTCATCGCCGGTGTGCCACCTAGCGTCCTCCCTCTGCATCCCAAGCCTGGACTCAGATTGATCACATCGCGATCAGCTACCGCTGGCGTGGTTGTGTACAAGACTGCCGCTCCTTTTGGAGTACCTATCTGGAGTCTGATCATGCCCTGGTCTGCGCCAATCTCACCTTACTTTTCAGTGGCCGAAGGATTGACCACCACCAACGGATTGATATTAGTAAACTGGCTGCAACTCCTGTTGCAAGTAAGTATCGAGCGGAGCTAGCCTCTAGGCTAGCTACCACCCCACCGAAAAGTATAGATGAGCATTGGTTGCTTCTTCACGACGCCATGAAAATGGCGAGTAAAGCCGCTTGCGGCTTCGCGAAATGTCTCGCTTACAAGCACTGGGTTTCTTCTGGCTCCTTACAACTGATGGAAGCCCGTCGGTCTACTCCGGGTGACCGTGAGTTTGACCACAAACGAAGGCTGTTACGTAATGAAATCGGGCAAAGCTTGCGTAAGGACCGGGAAGCCTGGTGGTCGAAGCGTGCTAATGAGATGGAAGCAGCAGCTGCATCTGGTAACTGCCGGAAGCTCTTCCAACTCATCCGAGCCACTGGCAGCAAGAAGTCTGGTGTGAGTGAAACAATCTACGAGGATGACGGGATGCCAATCACTAACATCTGTCGACGTCTTGGACGATGGGCGGAATTTTTCGAAGGGCAGTTCAACTGGCCTGCTGCTCCGGCAACATCAACCAGCTTGTCCTGCCCCCCATGGCCGGTGACGACTGATCCACCAAACGAGGCGGAAGTCCTCAAGGAACTCCAACTCTTGAAACGTTATAAATCACCTGGCCCAGATGACTTACCTCCGGCTCTTTTTAAAGATGGTGGTGACCTTCTGACTAAGGAATCGACTGTGTTGTTTGGAAAGGTTTGGGAGCAAGAAAGTGTTCCAACATCATGGAATGAGTCAATAGTCGTCCCTATCTTTAAAAAGGGTTCACGTTGTTCCTGCAATAACTACCGGGGGATAAGTCTACTTTCGATTGCGTCCAAACTATTGGCTTCTATCATTCTTCGTAGGTTGTTTAAAACCTGAGAACGATTGACTCGCGAGGAGCAGGCTGGTTTTCGTTCTGGTCGAGGATGCATTGATCACATCTTCACCCTCCGCCAAATGTTAGAACACCGTCATACTTATCGCAGGCCAACAATCGTAGTGTTTCTTGATATCAGGGCGGCCTTCGATTCGTTGGACAGGACTGTTCTCTGGGATTGTCTATTGAAGAAGGGTGTGCCTGAGAAGTTCATTAACATCTTAAAGGCCCTGTATACGAACACCTCAGGCAGAGTGATGGCATACAACCACCTTTCTCCCTTGTTCCATTCGAGCAGTGGGGTTAGACAGGGTTGCCCGATCTCACCATTCCTCTTCAACTTTGCCATCGACGACATCCTGGAAACAGCTCTGATGGATGTAAGTAATGGCGGTGTGGATATGTTGCCTGGAGAACGACTTCTCGACCTTGAGTATGCGGATGATATTGTCTTACTGTGCGATAATGCCCAAGGCATGCAATCAGCACTTAATCAGTTGGCAATCAGTGTCCGCAGGTGCGGCATGTGCTTTGCACCCTCCAAGTGCAAAGTACTCCTACAAGACTGGCAGGATTCTCATCCTGTACTCACCCTGGATGGTGAGGAGATCGAAGTAGTTGAGAAGTTCGTGTATCTAGGTAGCTATATAAGTGCTGGTGGTGGCGTGAGTGATGAGATTGATGCACGTATAATGAAAGCCAGAGCGGCTTATGCCAATCTGGGCCATCTTTGGCGCCTTCGTGATGTTAGTCTGGCTGTAAAAGGTCGGATCTACAACGCGTCGGTGAGAGCAGTTTTGCTCTATGCTTGTGAAACCTGGCCTCTCCGAGTTGAGGATGTTAGACGTCTCTCTGTGTTTGATCATCGTTGTCTCCGAAGGATTTCTGACATCCAGTGGCAACACCATGTTAGTAATGCAGAGGTTCGGCATCGTGTGTTCGGGCGCAGAGACGATAATTCAATTGGTGTCACCATCTTGAAACACCGACTTCGGTGGCTTGGACATGTTTTACGAATGTCGTCCCAGAGACTTCCACGTCGTGCATTATTTGCCGACCCTGGGACTGGTTGGAGAAAGCGGAGAGGAGGTCAGTGTATGACATGGTGTCGTGGCATGAAAGAGAGCTGCAAAGGGCTAGCTTTTATTGGTCCTTCACGACTTCCTGGTTGGGGTCCGAGAGATAGTGCAACACAGTGGCTAGAGACGTTATCAGATATGGCTCAGAATAGAAGCCAGTGGCGATCCTGCTGCAACCTTCTTTTACTTTCTACATAAAGAATGGTTCTAACTTTCCTAACTGAAAGAGTCTTCTGGTTGTACATTTCAGTCCGCCTTATCTTTTCATCCCTTCTCTTCCTACTTTTATTATTTTGTGTGGCGCATATGTACCTGGTGCCCTTTTGTACCAATATATATGTGTTTAAATAAATAAATAATAATAAGGATAGGGAGTGAAGTAGTCGAACGCGTCGACAACTTCACTTATCCTGGAAGTCTGATCAGCCCTAATGGGTTGGTGTCTGACGAAATCTCAGCACGGATTCGAAAAGCTCGTTTGGCTTTTGCCAACTTACGTCACCTATGGCGAAGACGAGATATCCGTCTATCAATTAAAGGACGAGTATACTGCGCATCAGTTCGCTCTGTTCTACTTTACAGTTGTGAAACATGGCCATTAAGAGTAGAAGATACTCGTAGGTTACTAGTATTTGACCACAGATGCCTTAGAAAGGTTGCTTGGATCTGTTGGGATCACCGGGTAAGTAATGGTGAGGTTAGACACAGGGTATTAGGGAACGATGGTAAATCAGTTGATGAGGTGATGAATCTTCATCGACTGAGATGGTTGGGCCATGTGTTACGTATTCCTGAACACCGATTACCACGACGCGCTATGATGACTAGTGTAGGGGATTGTTGGAAGAGAGTTAGGGGCGGCCAAACCAAAACATGGCATCAGTGTTTGAAGTCACTAACTTCTAGTCTGAGCCATGTTGGCAGATACAGACTACCTGGTTGGGGTCCGCGTGACTATCGTAATCAGTGGTTGGAGACTATAGGTGACATGGCTCAGAATCGATCACAATGGCGTTGGTGTATACACTCTTTATCTTCCTTTAAACCTTGAGACTAAAATTGCTTCATATCTCTCTTCCTTCCTGTACTATATCCTTATATACAACCTATAATTTATATACTACTACCACCAGTAAATTAATTACTTCTATGAATCCGGTGTTCATCTTGTTGTGCTAACGAGGTATGGCAACTTGGACCGATGCATAAATGTGCCTGGTCCTACGTTGTAGCTGACTGACTGATTAGGTCATAATCAATGTCTTTTTGGCTGTCTAGGACTTACATATCGGTCTTGTTTACCATTAAGTTGCTTACAAACCCAAATATAATAAGAGTTTTTGTAGCTGTCTCGGACTTGGTAATTTTGAAGACATTGATGCTTGACTTTGTGTTATAAAGGCGTACTCACAGTATAGATGTTCGTTAATTACTTGGAACAGTTTCACATTACCGTATTTGTGAATTTATTTCGTTCCTTACCTATTATAGGATGTTAAAACTTTAACATTTTGAGGCTGGTGCATTACATTTAGTTCTTTTATATAAAAGCCAATCAGAGACTAGAATGTTTAATGCCTCAAACTGGGTTTGGAGGTGTAAGTATGAATACTTGTACTATAGGGATCACCATAATATTTTGTATCATGTGTAGTAAGGTTGAAAACCTAACAGTTTTTCATTTTATGCGAACAATCGTTGGATCTGAGCTGTATGACATGGAATTCGAATTTAGTACTCATTAATGTTGGTCATATTACTCACTGAATAAGTATTACCAGAATGAGTATCTTTTTTCGATAAAACTCTGTCGACCAGTTCTGTGGTCAGAAACGCATGTTTCTGTACATTGGAAGTCTGCTAAATATCTGACTTCTTGCTACTAAGAAGTCTAAGTTTTTATTTTGCCAGTAATTTACAAAATCTTTTAATTGTTCTCCTGGTTAACAGTGATTGGGCTACTCAGTTATTTTGTAGCAATAAAAAACACATTTACGTAGATTAATATTGTAAATTGGCTTTAAAATTACTTTATATATATTCCACACTTATTTTCATTAATTAGATATCATATGCTCTATTTCCTTCTGTAAGAGGTTTTATTTTTGCTATACTGAACTTGTTAACTTGATTAGTTAGAAATAATAAGCTCAAACTTTTATGCTTCTTTAAATGACTATATGTGTGTGGTTTAACTGTGCAATAGTCGTGATCACGAGCTCATTTTAAAATTTTCAATTTTCTGACTTTTCAGAACTGGCTTCTATGACCCAATGGAGAAAAGTGATTATTTTAACAAAAAAGTGTATAGACGACATTTTTCAAGAAAAAGAACTTTGCATTTTATGTTTTTCTTTACGTTATCTGTAATTTTTGTTATGGCAACTTCATATTTAGTTTATAATAATCAAGGCCTAAGTTTAAACTCTTTTGAACATTCGCTTGATGTGGATTTGTACATGATATATGAAAATGAATTCAAATCGTTAAATAACAAGCCATCAATTAAACCTATAAATCCCGTTAAATTTAACGCTGTTCTCCAACCAATAAACTCTTGTAAATTGTCCAATCAATCTGATGCGTCACCAGATCTAGTTATTTTTGTCAAATCAGCGTTGTTACATCTTGAATTACGTAATAATATACGCCAGTCTTGGGGTAATTCAAACTGTTTCCGTTATTTTGGAGTGCGTACTCGAATTCTTTTCATTCTTGGTAGATCGGGTTCCACCGATTGGAAACATTCCAGTACTCAAAGTATGGTGTTACAAGAACATATGAAGTATAACGACATAGTTCAGTTTGATTTTATTGAAGACTATCATAATGTTACGTATAAACTGATAGCGACATTAGACTTTGCTATTAATGAATGTTCTACTTCTCGATTTCTCACTTTGATTGATGATGATTTCATGTTGCACCCATCTAATTTACTCCGGACACTTGCCAAAGTTACTGAAACTCAGTATTTGAACTATATAGCTGGTAATGTGATGCGTGTCTCCAAACCAACAAGGCTCCTATTCAGTAAATGGTATATTTCCTATTCAGACTATCCATACAGTTTATATCCAGCCTTCCCTTCTGGCGGAACTATTATTCTCAGCATGCCTGTCGCCCAGCTTCTTTCTGTTGGTCTGAGGTATATCAAATTGCTTCCTTTTGAAGATGTTGTAATTGGCCTTGTATTATATAAACTGGGTATTAGTCCTGTACATTTGGATGGCGTTTATGTAGTTCGTTATCCAAAGAGTCATACTGGTGATCTCATAAGTATTCATGGGTACGGTGATAATTCCTTTTCCTTATCCAGTTGGAATAAGCTTGGTTTGCAGACTGTTTGCGACAGATAGACTATCTTCTTGCTCTTTTCTTTGTTATTGTTTGTATATTCAATATGTAACAGTAGGTTAACGTTACGTTAACCTTAGAGAATTTCCAGTCGATTATTATTCACTTTCTGATTTGCTGATAACGTCTTTGGGAGTGTAGTTACTTAGTTACTAGTAAAAATGTCACACCTAAAATTTCTCATGCTAATAATTGAACTGTTTGTTCCTCAACTTGTCGAATAATTAATCACAAACTATCTAATTGTAATGTAAATATTCATAAAACTCTCATCTTGTAAATAATTCGTAACTGCATAAGTTTTATTTCAAATTGAAAGTAAATTGCTATAAAAATATTTGAAATGTTTTTTTATTTGTACAGATATTGAGAAGGCATATGTCTGAAAGGATGCTGCCTCACTTATAGGACAAGTTCAAAAATCTGAGAAGTTAATGCATTATCATAAGTTATTGCTTCCTAATACTGTCAACAGGTCTTAACAGGAAACAAGGTAGCCTATCTGAGAAAGAAATACAGTTAAGCGTTAGTTGTTAAATATTTAATCTTTGGTCTGTCTGTTTGATTGATTAGACTAAAGCTGGTGCTTCCTTAAACTTTTCTGTCTAACTGATGACCGAATCGAATATTGATTAAGTTAACGGGAAACAAATTTAGGTTGTTAGGTGATGGGGTTAAAGTTTACGTATTTTAACTCATGTTACTACATGGATTCAATAGTTCTACTTATGGATCAATGAACTTAAATAATTGAACCACTTCCCGCTATAGTTTTGGGTCTGTTAAAATGATGTTTGCAGAGTTGTATTTTCGCTAAATAATAGCCTTTTGTGATCTCAGGCTGTATATGATTTCTATTGCTTAGCAAAACATAGGTTACTTGAAGCGGGGTTCGCTTTTGTCGCCAATTTTTACCGTTGAGCAATGAATGACTGATGTGGTGGGTTTTTTTCTTTCATGTACTTCACAGCGTCTGAAATGTAGTTTCATTCACTTGTTTCTCTAAGTGTCGAGTTTGTTAACATATGGTCGTTTGATTAGTAATGGGCTTGACTATCAATTCTTTATGAATTCAGTAGTTTGGTAATTATGAAGTAGTTTCTCTCCCTCTCGAAATACTCTCACATGGCCATGCGTAATATAGCCTCTGTCAGGGAAGTCCTACTCACTGCCTTCTCGTGGCGGGGGTGTTGTTTACGAAAGTGAGAGGACGAAAAGCGAATGTCCGGCGCTTTAACCGGGTTGGTGGACACGGAAGGTTTACCTAGGGGAGTTGGCAAACCCTGATTCCAAACCAATGGTGCACATGGGCTCCGGCATCGTGAAGGAACGAATGGCGTGTGAACCAATTGTTGATCACCGTCCAAGAAGACTACATTCGACAACAGTAGGAATAATACAGAGAAAGCTGAGGCATTGACTAAATATACAAGAACAAACAAGCAAGTGATAAAGGGAATGAGAGCGGACAGGTGGGAACATGTTGAAGACCTGTCAACTAAATTATTGAAAGCTGAAAGAGAAGAAAATATGAGAGTACTATATGATAAAATCAAGAAGCTTGCAAGAAAATGTAGTAGATCAGAGCGACCAGTCGAGAGCAAAGAAGTAAGACTGATCACCGATGTTCAAGGACAGTGTAACGGCTGGATAGAGCACTTTTAATATCTCTTAAATAGATCAGTAGGTTTCTCAACCCTTCGGATATCGAAGCATAAAGCACCAACCTTCCTATTATTGATAAAGCACAAAGCATAGGGGAATTTAACAATAACAGCCAAATTAAAGTCGGTAAAAGAGCACAACTAGATGACATGCTAACTGAAGCGCTATCATCAGATAGAGGCAACTGCAAATGTACTCTGTGTCCTCTTCATAATGAATTTTAAGAAAGAACAAAAAACAGAGGACTGGCAGAAGGGAAATCTCGTAAAATACCGAGGAAATGAGGTCTTAGTAAGTGTGTGAACTAAAGGGGCAGCATACTAGTATCACTACCAGTGCAAAGTTCTCAGGCGAGTGTTACTAGACCGAACTCCTAACCTTGAGATCAATAAGATGGGTTGCGTAAAGATCAATCATGTGCCAACAAATTAGAGACACTATTGAACAATCGGTTGGATGGGACTAGTCACTATATATCAGTTTCCTTGATAATGAGGAAGCGCTTGACAGCGTGGATTGGAAAGCCTTGTGGAATGCTCATTGATACTTTAAAGTACCTCATAAGATAACAAGTTAGTAGAGTCCAACCGTGTAGAGCTTGAGGTATTTACCTACGGAAGACAGTGGGGTATAATTGTTTAATACCGTGAATGATTGAGGTTAGAAATGTAAACCACTAGTTGCCAGCTCAGTGGTCTAAAGGTTATCCACACATTACAAAACCTGATGGTTCGGAGTCCCATCCTTGGTGTGGGTTATCCGTTGTGGTGTCCCATACTGGGAGAAAACAACTATCTAAGAATTCCTGGTTTTCAGTGTTTGTCTAACTTTGGTGGGTTTTTTGATCTCAAAAACTTCAATTTGGTTCTCATATACAGAAAAAAAGCAAATATTTGAGAGTTTTTTTTCACTAATTATTATTTGATAAATGGAATCCGACACAATACAGAGTATTGGTTTATTACACTTTTTTTCTGCGAACTGAATACAAAATCGTAGTGCGAGCCTGAGGTAAGTTTTGCTTATCCTATAATTATCAACGTACACATTCTTAAACGGCCGGAATCCGATTAACCTAAAAGATTGAACAAAACTGATATTGTAAGCAAAGATGGATAACGGCTAGCAGTGGAGTCCAGGTCGCGCGTTTCGTCCTATTTGGGACTCGTCAGCTGGATGAACCAGCATCTCAGAGTTGATGTTCACTCTGGGAAGATCAATACAAGTAATACTAAGTGAACTTAAACTTCTGCCCATTGTACAAGCAAGTGGCTATGAGGAATCAGTAGCTGAGTGGATAACGCGATGGCGTTTGAAGCGAGTAGTACTGGGTTCGAGTCCCAGAGTGAAAATCAACTCTAAGATGCAGGTACATCCAACTGACGAGCCTCGAATAGGACGAAACGCGCGTCCTGGATTCCATTGCTAGACACTTCCATCTTTGCTTACAATACTTGTGAAATAAGGCTATATAGAGGCAATACGCACAGTATGCACATATACCAATAAGAGACTGACCAGTTGCAGTCCTAAACATCAATGGGAATATTCAAACAAGTAATACTAAGTGAACCTAAAACTGATATTGATTTACAATAATTGAGTACTTTTGAAAATATAGCGAAAAGTTTAAACATTATTTTATTAAAACTTGTTAAGTTTCTTTATTGTTCAATGAATTCTAAACCATAATCATTCTTTATGTTAAGTGGTAGATGAAAACAAAATTTTTTAGAAATTCAGTAGCAATTATCTACTTGAAAACATGGTAATATTTAGCACTTTCATAACGGAATAAATGTAGTTGAGAACTGGTACCGTGGATTGCACTTATTAACTTACACAGTTATAATTAATATTCAGTGATTGTTTATTAAACATTAGAGTCACTAATATTTCTATTGTATGCTGATTTTAAACGGCTGAACATGTTTCCATCAAGTTATAAGACAATACTTTAGGGTAAACGATTACATTTTCATCCATAAATGTGATGTATACATAAATTTGGTAATAAATAAGCGTTCAAAGGGACCTATTAAGTTGAAATAATTTGAGTAGAAATCTGATAGATTTACGGCAATCGATAATCTGGTCATTCGATCTAGTGAGTTGCGTCATATCACAACTCATTAGCTGCACTAAATAAAATACTAAACGTTAATGTCAAAGCGTATAGTCTTTCAACTCCGCCTGTAGCTCTTCTAGTGTTACTGCCGGTCCCAAGCCCGGGTAGAGGAGTAGGGTTGGGCATGGGGTTAGCGACCCCATCCCGTAGAAAAGCTAACTCGCTAAAAAAACGCTAATCAGAAAAAAATAATTCAAACCATTTAAACTCTGCCCTGGGAGTTGAAGGAATAATGACGTCTCATGATGAAAGCCGAAATTCTCCGGAAGTCACAAGACCGATGCACCTTCTAACAACCAGAGCAACACTCTTTATATGTACATGGAACGTCCGGACAATGTGGGAGACAGGAAAGACCAGCCAAATAGCAATGGAAATGAGGAGATACAACTTGGCAGTACTCGGAATCAGCGAAACCCATTGGACACAAACTGGACAACAAAGGCTAGGTACAGGAGAGATGCTGCTGTACTCCGGTCACGAAGGGGAAAACGCTCCACACACTCAGAGAGTTGCTCTAATGCTGTCCATAGAAGCACGAAATGCACTTGTGGGATGGGAATCTCATGGACCCAGGATAATCAAAGCATCATTCAGAACAAAGAAGCAAGGGATCACAATGAACGTTATCCAATGTTATGCACCCACCAATGATAGCAACGACGATGATAAAGATCAGTTCTATGAAAGGCTTCAATCAATTATAGAGAAGTGCTCACGAAAGGACCTCACCATCTTGATGGGAGATCTAAATGCTAAAGTTGGAGTGGACAACACAGGATATGAAGATGTAATTGGACGACATGGATTAGGAGAGAGAAATGAAAATGGGGAGAGACTTGCAAACCTATGTGCATTCAACAACTTGGTTATAGGCGGCACAATATTCCCACACAAACGCATACACAAAGCTACATGGATCTCACCGGACCACACCACAGAGAACCAGATAGATCACATCTGTATCAACAAAAAATTCCGAAGATCAATGGAAGATGTGAGAACCCGGAGAGGAGCTGACATAACTTCAGATCACCACCTGGTTGTGGTCAAGATGAGACTGAAGCTAAAGAAACACTGGACAACTGGACAAACAGCACTACAAAGGTTCAATGCAGCCTTCCTTCGAGATACTGACAAGCTCCATGAATTCAAGATAACTCTCAACAACAGGTTCCAAGCTCTACAGGATCTACTGAATGAACAAGA